AAATACAGCAAAGATCAAGAGGATGAAGAAGAAACAGCTGAGGAAGATTGAGAAAAGAGACACGCTCTCCATGGTGCAGAAAACACCCCCTAAAGTCAAGAAGAGCACAGAGAAAACCACCAGCAGCTCCTAGAGAATGTCTCTCTACAGATGTGTGAAAATCTCCTCAAACATCGACATGCTGAAATCTTTTGTGGATCAATTCAATATGGAGGGCTCATCATCTTTGATCTGTGACTCAAAGTAGACCAGATTATGTCAACCATTGGGATAAAGCAACACACTGAGAAACTCGAGTCTGATCTAATGTCTGTACAGCAAGTTTAAACGCAAATAAATGTGTGTTGGTGTAACCCGTTTCCGGTCATCTTTTTAAGAAATATATCTGAAAATGCATTTCCTAAATCATATAAAACTGTTTAATTTATAATTCTTATATGTTAAAGAACTATTTTTGTTCTCAATTAATTAGTTTTTTTTAGTAGAAGAGGTTTCATTTTCAAAATTGGCACACATCCAGGGGATTTTCCAATTGCTTTGTAAAGTTTTATGTGACAATATTTATTATACTCTGAAATGCTTTCATTATCAGTCTCTGTTGATTTTTGAACACTGAGGTGACGTGATCGGTATGTTTCTACTGTGCTTCTTTATAAAATACTTTCCGCCTTCACTATTTATAGTTGAATGTCAGGGTTTAGTTGGCAAAGGATATTAGTCTGACTGGTAAGATTATTTGAAATGCATTTCAGTGGAGAAACTCATTTAACATTGGTCATGATATTTTGCTTAGATTAAACAACATTAAACAACTTTAAGATTCTGTTCCTCATAAATATCTAAGTTTATTTTCAGGCTCAATGCTAAAGGTTTTGAAATCCAACACGTAAACGTTGGCAGTGTGTCAGAAACTATACAAACACTGCTTGATCTGTGCTGGTCAAGATTGTAATATCATACATAATAGCAATGACCTATTTCTAGAGTTATCAAGACAATTTTTATCTGGAGAGACTTCAAAGAAGTTATTTTTAAATGTAAATTTTGTGAAAATATATATTGGAAAAATTTTTTCCAAAAATAGTATAAAAAAATGAATAGTTTTTATTTTATTATGCGCATTATTTATCAACTTTATAAATAATAAAAAAATGTTTTATTAAACTGGAAGAGCCCCAGGCCACCCTCACATGTGCGGTGGCTGAAAGATGTTTCGTATATTCAAGCTAGAGAAGATTAGATACTCCCTTCAAAGACAGAACATTCGTTAAAATTTGGAAGCCCTTTTTTTTTTTACGTTAAAACTTTCTATCTGAATCTAGACTGATCACCTTTGCTAGCTCTTGACAATAAAATACATAAATTTGTAATCTTTCATCACTTGAATTGTAACATTAAGATTGTTGCAAAAATGTAAACATCTGCCCAGCATTTAGTTGTGTAACTGGGTATTATTTAATAAAAAAAAAAAAAATTTCATTATTTTAACATTTATTATTATTTTCTATATTTTCTATGTTGTTTGTAAAATGTAAAAATGTTAAAGAAATCATTAATAATAATAATAAGTTATTGTAAAACGTTTGCAAATTATTATTTTTTTCGGCATTAAATAGCCAGAAAAGGCTGATATGGCAATAAACTCAAAATTCTTTCTCTCCCCAACTCATCTTCAGACCCAAGCACGTGTGACCACTCGACGTGTGAGGAGAGGCCCTCAAAACACGGTATCTGTTCACTACCATGAGCTTCTGGAAAACACCAGCCACACCGTCCTCCAGGTTCAAACAGCTGTTTCTCTAATTCCCGAAATCTTCACTGTATTCATCAATAATGGCGGAGTTGGAAACCTGATTCCTGTGGTTGTGCACACCACTTATACCATTGAGCAAATGCTGCAAAATGCTGGCCTAGGGAGCTTGAGTCTAGTCTTAAATGGCCAAACAGTTCATCCTCAGCAGAGACTTTGTGATCTCAAGGTGAAGCCCAATGCCAAGTTCATCTCCTACCGGATTTGCCATGGAGGTTAAAGAGACTTGGTTAAAGCACCTTCGTCTTGAAGAAACCCCCCCACCCAACCCTACTTTCCCTCCTTTCAAGCGGGCGTCACGGTGGCCAGCGATTAGCGCTGTTGCCTCACAGCAAGAATGCCCCTGGTTTAATTCCTTTCCAAACCAGACGGCATTTCTGTGCGGAGTTTGCCTGTTCTCCCCGTGGTCGTGTGGGTTTTCCCCGGGTCCTCTGGTTTCCTTCCACAGTTCAAAAACAAGCACTCTAAACAATTTATCCAAATACTTTAGCTAAACTCTGAGTACACCTTTTAGCATCCATATCTGACACTTAGATACAACAAGAAAGAGGGAGAGTCATCGAGATCTACCTGAGCTCAAACTCCCCTCTCGCCTTGCAAAGGGGGGGGGAGCCCAGGGCTTGAGGATCTTATAAGCTCAGGGCTCTCTCCCGGGACAGCACGCCAAACTAGCTTTATTATCAATCATCAGCTAAGTGTGAACTCTTGAAAAACAGAAAATATTTTTAAATAGTTAATTTGTGATATTCAAGCATTAACATATTTTAAAACATAAACACTACTGTTAATAAAAGCATCAAACCTGTCAAAATGATGAATATGATTTGCTCTTGTACATGTTTGTTTCAATAACTACAGTTGCTTATATTTAAAAAAGCCTGGCATGTGGAAAAGCAGAACATCTGAAAAAATGAGAAGAAAATCCGAAAAAAAAAGCAGAGATCGTAAATGCATAATGGCTTTTTTTCCCCTCCAGATTTCTATTGTTTCTCAGGCTGACCCCAAATAAATATGACTAATAAAAAGTCGACTAGTTTCATTTTTACAATAGTAGTTTAATTACTTGGAAGGTAATTAGAAAAATTGTTCTTCATTACATAACTAAACCACAATAATAAAGCATTTCAAATCTAAATTAAGCAATTCAAAAGTGAAAGTTGATTAAGTTCAGACTACGGATGTGTCTGGAAATGAAAAATGTAAGAACTGCCTGAATATTTAACTGATTTAATGATAAAAATAACAGTTACAACAAAATTTGCATAGATAACAACTTATATACACAATGCAATAATAAATATAAAACATTTTTTTTTTTTACAAAATTAACCAAGCAAATAAATGAACACACACAGCAAACTGCAGATATAGTTGGAAAAAATCTGATCTATAGATAAAGCTGCGGTCACACTGCAATTTTCTCGCTATAAACTTCCATTCATACACACATGAATGCGTCAGACCAGAAACGCAAGCTCATGCTACAAGTTTCACAGTTCACTGCATTGCAAAGTTCAAGCTTGAATTTGAGCTTGCAAAATTCTGTTGTATGGCCCTGCGAAAAGATGATTTGACATTTATAAAAAAAAGCCAGCGATTGCTCCATATTTAAAATTTTTGTTTAGAGAGGTCATGTTTTGATCCTCGATTGATCTCACGCAGTCAAATGATAAGATTTCAAAGGTCAGAGTTCACCAAGCCTAACCTTTGCAACACAGAGAACTGCGAAACTTGTTGCACAAGCTTGTGTTTCCACGTTAAGCCATGGTCACACTGCACTTTTCTCCCCATAGACGTCCATTCATATGTACGTGAATGCATTAGACCGGAAATGCAAGCTTGTGCGATAAATTTCTCAGTTCGCTGCGTTGGAAAGTTTAAGCTTGGTGAACTCTGACTTGAGAAATTGCATCACTTGACTGCGTAAGGCCAACCGAGGATCAAAACATGATCTCTCTGGACAGAAGTTCAAAATATTGAGCAATCGCTTGCTTTTTTAAAAGTCCAATCATCTTGCTTAATCCCGCCCCCTTTTCTTGAAGAGCTTAAAAAGGTCATGTTTTGATACTCGGTTGGTCTCACGCAGTCAAGTTATGCGATTTCGCAGGTCAGAGTTCAGCAAGCTTGAACTTTCCACTGTAGCGAACTGCGAAACTTGCCACATTACCTTAAATTTCTGATCTGATGCATTCGAGTGCATATGAATGGAAGTCTATGGGGAGAAAAGTGCAGTGTGACGGCTGCTTCAGTCTGTAACAGCCAGGCCAGGTTCTTCCCACTCACAGTCATCCCCATCACTCCAATTACCATCACCTTGACTTCTGATTAGCCCCACACCTGCATGTCATTCCCAGTCAAGACTCCAGCACTATAAATACCAGCACCTCAGTTCATTCAGTGTCTGACCTTGTCGATAGACAGAAGTACTAACCCGAGTGGTCAGTGATAGATTGTTTCCTGTCATCTCCAAAATATTCATCTCTTCTTCCTAGTGAGGTTCCCATCCGGTTGTCTGTCTCTCAGTCCCTCTGTGTAACTAACTTTATCTCCTTAACCAATTAGTCTATATCATTTGGTCCATCTCTATCATCCACTGCAATAGAATGTCCTTATAATGAACTCATATACTCACAACTCTGGTCTCTGTTGTCTTTCTGTGGCAAAAGTGAGGTCAAGTTGGCATTATATAAATTATATCAGCCATTGTGATTAAACAACACACTGAGAAACTCGCGTCTGATGTAATCTCTGTACAGCAAGTTTAAAGGCAAATAAATATGAGATGCTATAACTTATTCCAGTCAGCTTTTTAAGAAGAATATCTGAAAATGCATTTCCTAAATCATTTAATTGTGTTTAATTTCTGCTTCTCATATGTTAAAGAACTGCTTTTGTTAATGTTTTCAGTGAGAGAAGAGGTTTCATTTTGAAAATTAACACAAATGCAGGGGATTTTCCAATTGTTTGGAAAGGTATAATGTGACAATATTGATTACCTTGTGAAATGCTTTCACTATCAGTCTCTTAGGAGTTTTTTAAATGCTGAGGTCACGTGCCTGGTACTTTTTTTAAACTTTTTTTTTTTTTTTTAAGTGTAGTGAAGTTGACAAAGGATATTATTAGTCTGATCCTGATGTTTGGGCGGAGTTTGAAACTATGATAAAAGGAATGTTGCAGTAAGTGGAACAGACACACCATACAACACAGAAGAGCAGAAAGATTTCCTCTGTTAGACAGCATGGCTGCAGCTGATATTGAACGATTGGTAAGATTATTTTAAATGCATTTCAATGGAGAAACTCATTTAACATTGGTCATGGTATTCTGCTGAAATTTAACACCATTAAGCTTCATAATAAACTTTTGTAATTTATTGTAATATACTCATAAATATCTTGGTTCATTTTCAGGCTCGATTCAATAGGTTTCTGGATTTAAGACGTGATACCTGGCGTTGTGTCAGAGCCATTCCAGATGCTGAGCTTGATCCCTATAACCCACTGAAAAAGGCCATCCATGTCTCTCTCAAGGTTGAAAAGTCTGTTTTGCCGGATGAAAAATTACTCACAGTGAGCATCAACAATGGCCCAAAGGAAAAGAAGACCGTGGATATAGAGCGCACTAACACCGGCAGGGAAATGCTACAGAAAGTCCTAAAGCTCACACCAAAGCAGGTAGAGAACCTGTATCTGGTCTGCAATGGCAAAACAGTGCCGCTGGATCAGAAGCTGTGTGATCTCCAACTGAAGCCGCAGATTACATTCATCATCTGCCAAAAGTGCAATGGAGGTTAAAGAGACTTGGTTAAAGGTCCAGGGCTTAGTGCTTTTCTTTTTCCTCCCTTTTATTTGAGTTAGTTTGTATTCTCATGTTGTGGGCTGTTTCCTGGTCTTTATGTTGTTAATGGTCTCTATCAGGTTTGGAAGAATTTGACCTAATCACTGTAATAATGCAGCACTAGCTCTAAAATCAAATAGAAATCGATGTCAAATGTGTCATTTAAGCTGAAAGAAATCATATATATATTGTTTAAATCATGGTTGGGTTTAGATTAAATATGTACTTCAATGTTTTTTTTACTCAAAGAAAACACAAAAATGCTATAATTAGGAAGTAATTATGACAGTGTTTAAATTAGGTGGTAAAAATGTTATTGTCATCCTTTGTTTTGACTCAGTGAGGTTAACAGAGTTCCGAATTTATGTATTAAATTAATAGAAACTGTTTATAAATAGACGATTTGTGATATTCAAACTCAGACAAAAGCACATCAACAGATTTTAAAACACAAACACAACTGTTAATCAAAGGATTAAACCTGTCAAAATGATGAATGTGATTCGTTCTACTGTAAATCTGACACTTTTGCTTTAATAAACATTTAATCACTTTTATTTAAAAAAAGCATGGAGGTCTGCTAATTTTGTGTCTGTGATTCAATGTAGGCCATTAAAACGTATGTTAAATGTATGTTATAGAAACAAAACACTACAAACCTGTAAAAAAACTGTTTCCATATAGAAAATAAGAAATGTATCTGAAAATGTTTCCTAAATCAAATAAATTGTGATTCATAAAAAAAAATATCATACAAAATGTGACAGTATTTAGCCTATTATTTTGGAAAATGCTTTCATTATCAGTATCTCATGTGTTTTTTAAACGCTGAGGTGACATGATCGCTACTTATCATTCCCAAATGATGCTTCTTTACAAAATAATTTCCGCCAGTCAAACCTTCACTAAATAGTATTCATAGTTAAATGTCGTGAAAACAAATATATTAGTCTGGTGCTGGTGTTTGGGTGGAGTTTGAGACTGCAGTAAATACTGTTGCAGTAAATCGAGCAGAACACACCAAACAACACAGAAGACCAGAAAGATTTCCTCTGTTAGCATGGCTGCAGACAGCATGGTTGCTTGATTGGTAAGATTGTTTGAAATGCATTTCAACTCATTTAACATTGGTCATGATGTTTTGCTCAGATTAAACAACATTAAACTTTGTACTGATCTATTCCTCATAAATGTCTAGATTTATTTTCAGGCTCAATGCTTTAGGTTTTGGAATCCAGCATGTAAACGCTGACAGAGTGTCAGAGACTATACAATCATTGTGCTTGTCAATATTGCAATAGCAACATAACTGTTGAAACATAACTGCCCTATTTTTTTGTTATCAGGACACCGATTTTTATCTGGAAAGGTATCATTTTTAAATGTGAATCCTTTAAAAGTGTAGATTTTTTTGTCAAAAGTAATTTTTCAAAAACTTAATTTTTTATAACTACTTTCTCTCCCACACTCATTTTCAGGCCTAAAAGGTTAAGTGTCAGCCTCAAGCACTTGTAAACATTGAACGTGTGAGAGGAGAACCATTGAACCCTCAAAACAGGGTAATTGTTCCGTATTATGGGCCGCTGGAAAACACCTGCCACGCCAATCTCCAGATTCAAAGACCTGTTTCTTAAGCTCCCAAAACCAATGTGTTCATCATTAAAGGCAGAGTGGGAAACAGAGCTGTGACTGTGAACATCACTGATACCATTGAGGAAATCCTGCAAAACAACAACCTAGGGATCCTGAATCTGGTCTATAACGGCAAACCAGTTCAGCCGAATGAGAAGCTATGTGACCTTCAGGTGAAGCCCGGCGCCACATTCATCTCCTACCAGATTTGCCATGGAGACTAAAAGAGACTTTGATAAAGAACCACGGCTTAGTGCTTTTCTTTTCCCTCCCTCACATTTCAGTTCATTTGTATGCTTATATTGTGGGCTGTGTCATAGTATTTCCTTGTCTTTATGTTGTTAGTGGTCTCAATCAGGCTTGATTTGACTTACTAATACTGTAATATGTGTAATAACTGTAATAAAATTGTAATAATTCAGTACTGGCTCAAATCAGATAGAAATTGATGTCAAATGTGTCATTTAAACAGAAAGAAATAGGATATATACAGTTGAAGTCAAAATTATTAGACCCCCTTTGAATTTTTTTCTTTTTTTAAACATTTCCTAAATGATGTTTCCAGAGCAAGGAAATTTTCACAGTATGTCTGATTTTTTTTTTTCATCTGGAGAAAGTCTTATTTGTTTTATTTCAGCTAGAATAAAGGCAGTTTTTAATTTTTTAGGAACCATTTTAAGGGCCAAAATTATTAGCCCCTTTAGGCTGCATATTTTTTTCGATAGTCTACTGAACAAGCCATCATTATACAATACAATAACTTGCCTAATTACCCTAACCTGCCAAGTTAACCTAATTAACCTAGTTCAACCTTTAAATGTCACTTTAAGCTGTATAGAAGTGTCTTGAAAAATATCTAGTCAAATATTATTTACTGTCATCATGGCAAAGATAAAATAAATCAGTTATTAGAAATTAGTTAGTAAAACTATTATGATTAGAAATCTCTAAAAAAATCTGCTCTCCATTAAACAGAAAACATGGAAAAAAATAAACAGGTTTTAGGTTAAACACGTACTTTAATGTTTTTTGTTTGTTTGTTTGTTAGTTTTTGTTTTACCCAAAGAAAACATCAAAAGGCCATAATTAGGAAGTAACCATGACAGAGCAATTGCATCGTGATTCTTTATGTAAACTCTGTGAGGTTAACTGAGGTCAGAAATTAACAGTTTTTAAAACATGAACACTACTATTAACAAAAGCATTATGTAATGCCTGATGTATTATCTGTACAACTAATCAACAGGTAATTAAATCTGTTGATTTGATGCTTTCAGACATCTTTTTTTATTTAAAGAGATTTATGTGAAAATATAACTCAAACACATTTCCTAAAATCATCTTAATATGTTTAGGTTCTGTTTCTCATATGTTGAAGAACTGTCTGTTTTATTGTTTTCAATGGTGAAAAAGGTTTCGTTTTCAAAAGTGACATAAAAAAACACAGAAGGGACTTTCCGCTGGTTCGGTGAGATTTATTGTGCCAATATTTATAATCAGTGTAAAATGCTTTCATTATCAGTATCTCAGGTGATGCTAAAGTAACATGATCTGTACTTTTGAGTCCCAAACCATGCAACTTTTAATACAAATTCTCCCAGCCATGCCACAACTAAAGGGTTTTCACAGTCAAGGGAACTCTGGTGAACTTGGCAAAGGAAATCAGTCATATCATCAGAGGAGGAGTTTAATTCTCATATAAAAAAAACACTTTCAGTTTACCAAGCACAAAACCCACCAGACAGCACAGAAGAAAAATACCAGAAAGAAAGATTTCCTGTGTTAGACATCATGGCTACGATTGTAGGATGGCTGCCAACATTGGTAAGATTGTTTTAAAAGCATTTCAGTGTAGACACTAATAAAATGTTATTGATTTAATTTTTGATCAAACTTCATTAAATTGTTTAATACTCTGATCACTCATTTTCAAATGGCAAGCAGAATGAGATCAGGGCTCAGATAAATGTTTTGAGGTCAAACTATTCTTGTAACTCGAGACATAAGATGCAGAATTAGACCCATTGAGGTCATTCTTAGATGTTTACTTAAAGGAGAAGTACAAAATGTCAATGTTGCAATGCAAATGAATTGTTTTTAAGGTTATCAGACAACAATATTTATCTAGAGACTTTGTTTTTAAATGTGAATCCTTCAAAAATAGTAGATTTCTTTTTTAATCAAGAGTAAATAAAAAAATTATTAGATTTTTATCCTATTTCATTATTATGTATGGCTGTTGATATCCTTTAATTTTATAAAACCTTTATTATAAAGTTATCAGACAACAATAATTATCTGAAGAGACTTTAACAGAATTTTATCAAAAGTATTTATTTGTGTATTTTATGTATTATTTATAGTTGTTGATGTATTTTTATTGTTATAAACCTTATTTTTAATGTTATCAGACAATGTTATTTTTCTGAAGAGACTTTAAATGAATTGTTTTTACATTTGAATCTTTCAAAAATGGTGGAATTTTTATCAAAAGTAATATATATTTTCCGTCTTTATGAATTATTTATTGTTATTGATTTTGTTTTATTGTCATAAGCCTTACTTTTTAAGTTATCAGACAACAATATTTATTTGGAGAGAGCTTAGAGGATTTTTTTTTACATTTGCACCCTTAAAAAATTGTTAATTTTTTTAGCAAAAGTAAAAATAAAAATGTTATTTGTATGCATTATTTATTATTGTTATTGATGTCTTTTTATTGCTATGAACCATTATACTATATAAGAAAAAATATTGTTTATAAAATGTTTGTCAAATTAATGAAATTTTAGAATATTAAATAGCCAGGAGACCATGCAGATATGGCAAAAAAAGTTTTTGTGTTACTTTACTAAAAGAATTAATCACGACTGCCTCCAACTGAGCCTACTAAAATCGTTATGTATAAAAGTTGTGCATCTACAAATTACATTCTGTAATTTCAGTAGTTTCCCAGTGAGGGTTGCAGCTGGAAGTGCATCCACTGTGTAAAACATATGCGGGAAAAGTTGGCGGTTCATTCCGCTGTGGCGATCCCTGATTAATAAAGAGACTAACCCGAAAAGAAAATGAATCAATCAATTTTAATTGTTAAAACAGCAAAACAGAAGGCAACAGAAAAACAAATAAATTCAAAACTCTCTTTCTCTCTTTCCGCCTCAGTTTCAGGCTCAACGTGTTGGGTGTCAGAATCAAGCACATGGACTTCCCAGAGGAGACCCTAAAAACACAGTGCCTGTTCCCTATCATGAGCCGCTGGAAAACACCAGCCACACCGTTCTCAAGCTTCAAGAGCCCGTTTCTCCAGCTCCCAAAGTCTTCTCTGTGTTCATCATTAATGGCTCAAAGGGAAGCAGGATTCCTGTGACCGTGACCAGCACTGACACCATTGAGGAAATGCTGCAAAAACACAACCTTCAAGCAAATCCCAATCTGATCTTCAATGGCAAACCGGTTCAGCTGTCCCAGAAGCTGTGTGACCTCCAGGTGAAGCCTGGCGCCACATTCATCACCTACCAGAAGTGCCATGGAGGCTGAAAGAGACTTGATTAAAAGACCAGGGCTTAGTGCTTTACTTTTCTCTCAGATCTCTGTTTAGTTGTACTCTTATGTTGTAGGCTGAAGTATATAGTCAAAGTGAAGTTTCTCAAACTCATTTCGAGAGGAGCACGTGATATGACTGATCACAGCTCGTCTCTCTTCTGTAATCATTAGTAAGCCAATCAGATTAATCCAAACTCACTATAAGTAGCCTGTCTAAAACTACTGCCTTATCTTCGTTTTTCTGAAGAAACCCCCCATCCACCCTATCTCCCCCCTTTTTTCCTCCTTTACCAGGGGGAGCTCTTGAGAACCTGATCTTGTATCCCTTTACATAGGCTCTGGGCTCAGTTATCTCCGAGCTCAGGGTTCTCTCCTGGAACAGCATGCCAAACCTGCTATTATTATCAAGCAATATCTAAGTGTGAACTCTTGAAGTGAGTACTGTAGTATGTTTCCTTGTCCTTATGCTGTTAGCTGTCTTATATTACGTTTGCTGTGATTTTTACTCCGTTTAAATAATCTGTAATGCAGCACAAGCCCTGTTGATGCAAACAAAGTGATATAAAGCAAAACAAAGCAAATAGTGCCAATGTTTAAGGATGTGAGGGATAGACGTTTTGTTAAAATGTTTGGTTTAGGACTTGTGTACTTTATTAGGGGGTTTACCAAAAGAAATACCCAAAGTGTACGTTCAGGGAGATACCAGGATACACGTTTCATTTTCACTTTTGATTTTGATAGATCTGGAATAATACAATATGAATTGAATATTAATAACATGTTTCAGTGTTAAAAATACATAATAATATATCATAAAAATAGTAAAGAATTTCTATTACTTTTTTTTTCAGATGATTTGTAATTCTTGCTGTTCAGTCAATATAAACACCACTGTGAATTGATTGTGAAATTTGTGAAACTGAGATATGACTTTCTGTTTCAATAAACATAAGCACTTATCATTTTGGCATTATTTTCTAATTCAGTGATATTTTATTACAAATAGCATCATGAACTTGAGCTGAATCATCATATATCAATGACATTAAGCACAATATTAAACCATTTTACACCATTGTGTACAGGTTTATTGTTACATGCATCTATACAATCATTATTTTGGAAATCACTTGACATCTGTACAGTCATAAACACTCCAGTTTTGGTTCTCACAACTCTTTGTGCATTCAGGTTTAAGTCCCCACTGGGATATAAAAACAAGATCACACACACAAACACTAAACTATTTAGGACGACATAATGACTAAATTTACTAAAAATAAAACCAGGTCTGAGAGATTTTGTAAATTTGGCTAATGCTCATTGTGATTTCCATCCATGAATTTAGAACTCTCTTCTGACAGCCATTCATTCATTTTCCTTCGGCTTAGTCTCTTTATACATCATGGGTCACCACACTGGAATAAACCCCCATGTTATCCAGCATACAGTATGTCTTACACAGTGAATAATTTTCCGGCTGCAACCCAGTACTGGGAAACACCCACACACACTCATACACTATGGCCAATTTAGGTATTCAATTCCTCTATAGCACATGTGTTTAGACTGTGGGGGAAACTAGAGCACCTGGAGGAAACCCACACCAACACGAAGAGAACATGCAAACTCCACACAGAAATGCCGACTGAGCCACTAAGCCACCGTGTTGTCCAAACCAGGTCTATATTTAGTATATTTAGCAAATGCCTACTGTATTATTTTAGGATAGGACTCTCATGTGACAACCGTTTTTGGTTGACAACTCTTTCAAACAGCACCAATAACACATTTATTAAATATGTATCTCTTTTTAACCACTTCTGGAGCCAAAAACATTATATTTTGTTGTCAAAGGGTTTAACACAACTCATTTATTTGTATGTTTTTATTTATTGTACAGTAACTCCTTATTAACTTCTCTCTAGGAAACATTACCTTTTTATATTGTGTTCCTGTCACCTCTCAAACTTAAAAGGTTTTTCGTTTTAATGCACAAAAGGTCAACCATATGCAGCGTCCGCTGGTTAAGATAGAAAGCAGACTGGTAGTAGTCTGTAAATAATTCATTAAATAAATAAGTAAACACATTAATCACATTTCCCCATTCTCTTTCCAAATCTCAGATGACCTAATTTCAGCATGCAGGACATGTGCTGTCTGGCGCAATAGCAGAAGTGTAATCTCAGCTAAAAGAGTTTAAAACATGTATGTTTATATATATAAAAGGTTATGTGTCAGCTGTAAAGTAGTTCCTAATTTCTTGCTTTTTTATACTAAAGGTTAATGCACAGAAGGTCAGTCACACACTACGCCAGCTAAGGGTTACGATTTTGAAAGGAGGTGCTTGGTGTGGTCTGTGAAATGGTTGGAGAATATATTCCTTTGGAACAAATCTTTCTTTATTACATATGTATCCTGAAAATGTGTCAGTGAATGCAAACAAAGAGAAACTTAGATTTCAGTTTTATACAAGCTAAACGTGTTATAGCTTTGGTATGGAAAAATACCCGAAGACCTGTTTTTGCACAATGGATAAAGGAAATGTCTGATAATCTTGCTCTTGAAAAATTAACACACGTTATCAGAGGTACAGCAGAGACTTTTAAAAAAGTGTGGTCCCCTTTCAGTTGCTTTATAAATGGATAGAAAAAAAGCATGTCTTTCAAAAGATGACTGTAATTTAAAGTTCAATGTAATCATTTTTTTTTGTATTTGTATTTTTTCATAGTATTGTATTTTATTCTATTTTATAATTTATTTTAAATGTTATTTTTGTTTAATAAATGTTGGAGTGGGAAAGAAAATTCTTAAATACCATAAGTTAATACTCTGTTCTGTTTGTTGGGTTTTGTAATATAATTAAAATCAATAAAAAACAAAGTTGAAAAAATAAATAAATTAAGGGTTAAGATAGAAAGTACACTCACCGGCCACTATTAGGTACACCTTACTAGAACCGGGTTGGACCCCTTTTTGCTTTCAGAACTGCCTTAATCCATCATAGCATAGATTCAACAAGGTATTGGAAAAGTTTTTTCTATATTGACATGATAGCATATCACGCATTTGATTTGTCAGCTGCATGTCCATGATGCCAATCTCCCGTTCCACCACATCCTAAGGGTGCTTTATTAGATTGAGTTCTGGTGAATGTGGAGGCCATTTGAGCACAGTGAACTCATTGTCATGTTCAAGAAACCAGTCTAAGATGATTCACGCTTTATGACATGGTGCAGTATGCTGCTGAAAGTAGTCATCAGAAGATGGAGAAACTGTGGTCATTAAGGGATGGACATGGTCAGCAACAATACTCGTAGGCTGTGGCGTTGACACGATGCTCAGTTGGTACTAATGAGACCAAAGTGTGCCAAGAAAATATCTCCCACACCATTACACCACCACCACCAGTGTGAACCGTTGATACAAGGAAGGATGAATCCATGCTTTCATGTTGTTGACACCAAATTCTGACCCGACCATCCAACTGTTACAGCAGAAATCGAGACTCAGGCAACGTTTTTCCAATCTTCTATTATCTGATTGTAGTGAACCTGTGAGAATTGTAGCCTCAGTTTCCTTTTAGCTGACAGGTGTGGCACCCGGTGTGGTCTTCTGCTGCTGTAGCCCATCTGCCTCATGGTTAGACGTGTTATGCGTTCAGAAGTGCTTCTCTGCAGACCTCAGTTGTAACGAGTGGGTATTAAATATTGTTGCTTTTCTATAAGCTCAAACCAGTCTGGCCATTCTCCTCTGACCTCTGGCATCACCAAGGCATTTGCGCCCACAGAACTGCCGCTCAATGGATATTTTCTCTTTTTCAGACCATTCTCTGTAAACTCTAGTGATGGCTGTGCGTGAAAATCCCAGTAGATCAGCATTTTCTGAAATACTCAGACTAGCCTGTCTGGAACCAACAAACATGCCACGTTCAAAGTTCCTTAAATCACCTTTCTTCCCAATTTTGATGCTCTGTTTACACTGCAGCAGATTGTGTTGACCATGTCTACATGCCTAAATGCATTGAGTTGCTGCCATGTGATTGACTGATTGGAAATTTGCATTAATGAACAGTTGGTCAGGTGTACCCAATAAAGTGGTGAGTGTAGAAAGTAGGATGCTTTAAATAGGGGAACACATTAATTACATTCACTCCTACTCTACCCAAAACAGAATGGACCCCCCTTTTCAGCATTAGAGTGTAATCTCAGTTAAAAGTGTTTAAAAGGTCTAAACAAGTTCATGTGTCTGTCAGCTGTAATGTTGATCCTTATTGAGGAATTATCACGAGAGTCAATGATAATAATAATAAAAAGCATTTAGAAGGAAATTCCCGTTCTTTCTGTGATCCCGTGTCTGGATAGTAATCAAATCATTTATTGTACATCAGTGAGTTTTCGAGAATCACCTCTGTAGGGCTGGGCATGTACTGTAAAGCCAACAAGGAAGACAAGTTTACTTTCTATTTTGACTTACATGCATAAATCTGACACAACAACAGGAAACCCTATCAGAAAAGAGTTCCTACTCTGAATAGTTGACAGCTCCGTTGCAGAATGGCTACAGAGGTTTACCCAGCACAGGTAAGATATTTTAAAGTATTTAGTCACGCTTTATATTAAGTGTACTTAATTACTATGTTCTTACATCAGAAAACAAGTACAACACTTGTGGTGTTCATATAGTGTTGCCACTTATGGTGCTACACTGTCAAAAACACTTTAATATTAAATTTCAATATTTTAATATTTTAGTTGAATCAAATGAGCTTTTCTAGTCATCACAACTTCCAAAACAAGAGCGTAGAATTGGCATGAACAGAGGGGACACCAATATCCACCAACTACTATAATGTCCCTACCAATAGTTTTATCAGCTTCTAAACAAAGTAATGATTCGTTAACTCTTAACCTACCTGTCAAGTTCAGTGTAATACCATTAACCAATGCTGTACAATTAATCAAAATTCAGTTTCAATTTTGGCCTCCATGATTATATATATATATATATATATATATATATATATATATATATATATATATATATATATATATATATATATATATATATATAAACAATAATCGGGATAAAACAGTTAAACTGCATCACAGAACCCTGCTGCTCGGCTGCAGTAAAATCATGTAAATTGACTTTTGTAGCCTGGAACAGGATGTTATTTGTATTATTAAGTGTTTATTTAATATTAATATGTACTTTATTCATGTTTTTAAAAGCGTGATACAGAATTTGTACTGTTCCATTCATGCACGCTAGGGATGTATATCCACACCATTATCAGGAGAATATCTATGCCCTTGTTACAAAATATTAAGTATAACCTAAAAAAATTTAGTTGAAACCTGATTAACTTTTTAAAATAGTTATAAATAAAGCAATATAAAAATATTTGTTGTCTTGACTTTTTCCTGATTAAATCTTCTTTCTAGTGTGTTGAAGTGGGATTCAGATAAGGTTAGGGACTAGGTTTGGGGGTATGGGTAGGTTTAAGGTTGAATTAAGGTGCAAGTGATGGTCAGTATGTGTATTTATAAATGTAATGACAGAAATTAATGCAGATCTAATTACTAAAATTATATTGTTTAAGTACAGTTTACACTGTAAAATGATTGCTGCCTTTTTTTAGTTTAATTAGATAAATTTAGGTTAAGTTTAATTAAACTTATCTAGTCATCTCAACTTACATCAATCAGACTTTACATATGAAGTTAAAGTTTGTATAACTTATGTTACAAATGTAGTTGAAACCTGATTAACTGGTTAAAATAAGTTAAAGCAACACACAAATATTTGTTGTCTTGACTTTTTGTCATTACATTGTTTTACAGTGTGTTGAAGTGAGATTCAGGATTTCATTGTTTTTGGCCAGGTTTAAAGTTGAGCTAAAGTTTAAGGGATGATCAGTTAAAAACGTAATGACAGAAATTAATTACAGGCCTAATTGTAAGCAGATAATTTTTTGAATATATATGTAATGTACACTTAAAAAAAATGAATGCTGCCTTAATTTGTTTTAGTTGAATCTAATTAACATGTCTAGTCATCTCAACTTACATCAATCAAACAGACTTTACATATGAAGTTAAAGCTTGTATAACTTATGTTACTAGTTGAAACCTGATTAACTTGCTAAATTAAGTTAAAGCAACACAAAAATATTTGTTGTCTTGAAGTTTTGTCATTACATATTTCTTTACAGTAATAAATGCATTGTGTTAAATGATTAATTAAAATGTAAGTAGTAATGAAGGTTGCTTAAAAACGCGTAGACTGGAAGCTGTAACCTTGTTTTGTATTGTGATGCAGTTCCTGGAGAAACGGGATGTTAAATGAGCAAACAGTGGGCGTGGCTTGTTATTTTTCTACTGAGAGCTGATTGGATGTAGTAAAGTAGGCGTTTTTGATTCAGAAGGGTCTGGAAAAGGGTTTGAGGAGAGTTATTACAACCTGACAGACACTTCCTCCTAACCATTTCTGTTTGTTGTCAAAACTGACAGCTGGAGGGGCGTGGTTAAGTATGTTAGCCACTCCCAGTACCTCAAACAGACATAGAAATAATCTGAAAACAAACAGGAAGTGTTTTTTCAGATTTTAATTTTAAATGACATGGGCAAACCCTTTTATTTTTCCTAATGACATGCACAGATGAATTGTTCACCACAAAACCAGCAAAGCGAGCTAACAAAATCAATATGGTTAGTTTTGACTTTATGTGGACTTTAATATAAAATGAGAGCAAGTATGGTTTTGTGTTTGTTTGTGATCCATCTTCTGAAGAAGCTTGTGTCAATGATTTTATATTATCTTTCAGATTCCAAATCTCCTCCAGCCTCCAGCATGTGGAGCCAGGCAGCATTTCAGAGGAGATCCTAAAAACACAGTGCCTGTTGCCTATCATCCCCACCTGGAAAACACCAGCCACGCTGTTCTCCAGGCTCAAGGGCCTGTTTCTCCAGCTCCCAAAAGCTTCACTGTGTTTATCATTAATGGCTCAAGGGGATCGAAGATTCCCGTAAAGGTGAGGAGCTCGTATACTGTTGCCAAAATGCTGCTGAAGGCCCTGATGGTCAAAACAGACCTGAATCTGATCTTCAATGGGAAACCGGTTCAGCCGAATCAGATGCTGTGTGATCTGCAGGTGAAGCCCGGCGCCACATTCATCACCTACCAGAAGTGCCACGGAGGCTAAAAGAGACATTTCTCTGAATCTCTATTGTTCTGTTCTCTTGTTCTGTTATCTGAATAGCACTTTAAATAGGCACTATATATACAACATCTTTGCTTGTCATTTCTTTTAATGCCGTTATCTTCTGCATTCTTTTGATTCAGACTGATAATCTGTAAAGCAACAAAAGCTTTTGACGCAAATTAATGTAACCTAAAGCAAAACTGATCAAACAGAATTGCAGCTTCCAGAAGTGTACTCTGTTAGACATTTTATTGTATTTTGTACTGTTGCCAGCAAGTTACAGCAACTACCCCCGTACAGTAACTTACCTGTAATTGTTTTACAGTAGCAGATCCCTACTTCATTTCTTTTTTTAGTTTTACTTTAATTTAGCCTTACCACAGCCCCTTTTTATGATAACATTTTTATTTTTACAATTAACAATTTTTACAGTAGCTTTACTGTAATTATTTACATGTTACACTAGCAATACAAAACCTTTATTTTTACTATTGAATTTAATCAATTCCAAACAAGTGGCTCATTTTTTTCAACTTTCTAATTTTTGTCTTCAACTACAGTAGCAGTGCTTGTTTACTTTGATTACAGTAGAATACCGCAAATTTCTAATAGGCAGTAAGTAACTGTAAAGTTTTAAATGACCCACAATGCAGTGCATATTGCAGCAGTGAACTGTAAAGACTGTTTGTGGTATTTTACTGGGCGTTTTGCAGTAAAAAAACTGTAAATTTGCTGCAAAGTCTAATAATAATAATAATAATAATAATAATAATAATAATAATAATAATATATATATATATATATATATATATATATATATATATATATATATATATATATATATATATCATTGAAATATTGTGTTTAAGGCCAAATATGTACTTGCATTGTTTTTATTTTTGTTTGAATGGGGATTTTTAGGAAGTAACCACAATAACTGTTAACTCTTCATTTACATTCTTTATTATGCTGTGATATTCACTGAGAGTTGAATAATGCAATAATATTACACTCAATAAATGACATTTACTGTTTGTTTAAACTACTGATATAAAATGAGCTGAAACAACACAATTCTTGAGTTATTTTTGGGACAACTTACAGTAATTGCTTTCAATCCACTTACATTTGTAAAACAACACAAGAAGTTTGCTGAACTTCTTCATTCTGTCCCAACACAAATAGATTGTGTGGATACCAAACATGTTTTTACAGTGTAGAATCTTTAGATAAAAACAAGCAATTTTTTTTTTCAGTAAAAGATAATTTTTCAAATGCAACCTCATAAATATCTCACAATAAAACTTGTATTAAATGAAAGAGGAGATGTCTTTACAGAAAATCAACGTTAATGGAAATATTAAGCTTGTCAACTTGTCAAATATGATTTCCTTTCTGTATATTTCTGTTTTAATAAAGATCAAGCCACTGGTTAAAAAAAAGAAAGTCTTTATGCATTATTTTCCAATTTAATAATATGTTTTTATAAAGAGCATTTTGAGCTTCAGTGGAAGCAAAAACACCTGAAACCAGTCACACAATTGATTTCATAACATCTACAGTCAAAGACAAAATTATTAGGCCAACATTTTTATTATTATTTTCATATTTCCTAATTGATGATTAATGGAAAATTTTTTTTACATAATAGTTTGCAATATATTTAATGTTCAGCTTAAAATGCATTTTAAAAGGCTTAAATTAGTTTAACAGTCATTAATTGATTTGTTCTTGAGCCAATTGCAAAGAAAAAGATTACTTAAGAGGGGCAGTGGTTGGTGTGTTCCAGAAAATAATGTGAAAAAATGCCTTTGTTATGTTAAACACAACAAAAAAGTTTGCCAGTTTGAGTTTGTCTTCACATAAATCCATTAGATATCCATTTATTTTCCTAAATGTTTACTATATATAGGACATAAGTCATAGAAATGCTTATTAAGGTAAATTGATAGTAGTCTGTCAGCAAGAAGGTCGCTGGTTCGAGTCCTGGCTGGACCATTGACATTTCTGTTTGGAGTTGTTCTGCCCGTGTTGGTGCGGGTTTCCTCCGGGAGCTCTGGTTTCCCCCCACAGTCCAAACACATGCTCTATAGGTGAATTGGATTAACTAAATTGACTGTAGTGTATGTGTGAGTGATATTGTAAAGATCTTTCCCAGTACTGGGTTGCGACAGGAAGTGCATCTGCCGCAAAATCATATGCTGGAATAGTTCAACAGTATCTGGATGCAGCCTTTATGATGCAAGCTGAGACTGCATCACTCAGCGATGCAATGTCAGACAAAATGCACTCAAATGGAGCTAGTGACGTCACTGTGATGGGTAGGGTTAGGGGTGGGGTTAGGTGAGCCCATTAAAAAGCATTGGATGCAGCCCAGATTGCACTGCACCAGGTCTCAGCCAGACCCCTCTCGATTAGTTGGCGGTTCATTCCGCTATGGCGACCTCTGAAATAGAGGCTAAGCGGCAGAAAAATGTATGAATGGATGAATAACATGAAATCATTGTAAATACTGTAAAAAAATGTCCGTGCCACACATAAATCCATCAGATGTCCATTTATTTTCCTGAATACTTGCTTTATATAAACATAATTCATAAAAAAGATGAATTGATGGTAGTCTCTGTGAGTTATGAAAGAAATAAACAATGCATATTCCCTGAAATCGCCCAAATTTAGGTAATCCAATCTCCCCAAAACACATTGGTCAATTTATTATGCAGGACATCATGAGTAGCCCTGCTATAGTTTAGATTAAAATGTTCATGCATGTATAAAAATATGTATCACCTAATGTAGATGCTAACTGCTGCATCATCACCATACAACAACAACAACAACAACAACAACAACAATAATAATAATAATAATAACAACAATAATAATAATAATAATAATAATAATAATAATAACAATAAAAAACGGTTTGTTTAGTTAAGTTTTTTAAGGGAATTCCCATTTTCTGTTATTCCATGTCTGTATTATAATCAAATGACTTACTTGAAATCATCATGCTTGTGAGAAGCCATGAAGGGTTGGGCATGTTGGTAAGCTGGGTACTTTTTTCACTGTTTACATGTGACTATAAATCCAAGCAAAAGTACAGTCTCTGTACACTGTATTTCTTCACTGAAGACAGTTGACAGCTCAAGGCAGAATGGCTACTATGGTTTACCAAGTACAGGTAAGATGATTTCATACATTGTGTGTGTGACCTTTGTGTGTGAATTATGAGGACATTGCTGATGCACTCATTTTCCAAAAGGCTTATAAATCAAACAGAATGATGCACCCATTTTCCTCTATGGTAGGGTTAGGTGTAGGCTTGGGATATGACAATTTAAATACAGTTTTTACGATATATAAGCAATGGAAACCTATGGAATGTCCTCTCAATTCAATTCAAGTTTATTTGTATAGTGCTTTTCACAATACTTATTGTTTCAAAGCAGCTACAAGACGTGCACATGACTGCATTACAATCAAAATCAGAAAAGTGAAAGCTAATAATATTCAAAACTTTATTAGTTACTAACTTTAACTTAATTAACTAATAGCTTTTAACAGTTAGATATTATAAACAGTCAACCTGCAGTTTTATAGCATATACTATATACTATATCTATGTGTGCATGTCCAATGAAGTGTATTTTAAGTTTAAACCAACCTGTGTGTATATTTATATAATGTATATATATATATATATATATATATATATATATATATATATATATATGTGCATATTTAATATGGTCCATCATCTGAAGATGCTTGTGTCAATGCCTTATATTTTCTTTCTGACTCCAAATATTTTCTAGGCTCCAGCATGTGGAGCCAGGCAGCATGTCAGAGGAGATCAAAACATGGTGCCTGTTCCCTATCACGAGCCACTGGAAAGCACCAGCCACGCTGTTCTCCAGGTGGAAAAGCCAGTTTCTCCAGGTCCAAAAAGCTTCTTTGTTAACATCTTTGATGGCTCAAAGGGAAAGAAGATTACTGTAAAGATAAGGAGCACTGACACCATTGGGAAACTCCAGAAGAAAGCAGAGAAGCTCAAGCCAGATTTTGTGGGATGCGGGAATCTGACCTTTAATGGCAAACCAGTTCAACTACAACAGAAGCTGTGTGATCTGCAGGTGGAGCCCGGTGCTACATTCATCACCTACCAGAAGTGCCATGGAGGCTAAAAAGACTTTTTTAAGCTCTTCTGTTTATTTTTTTTATGCTTGCGTGTCTATTATGTACTATATGTCTTCATATAACCGTTAGGTTCGATAAGTTTTGTTTACATTTGGTCACATTTTCATAAAAATTATCTTTTGGTTGACTATATAAATAATCAATATAGTTTTGGGTTTTTGTTCATATATTATATTTGGGTTATAGAAAATACCAGATTTTTATTTTTTTTACATAAAGTCTAAAATAATATTTAAAAAAAATTGTCAAGTTGTTTCTTTTTAATTGTCTTGTAAAGAAATGTAGTCAAATTACACATTTGGAAAATAAACTTTAATAACCAAGCTACCTTTTTTGTGTATTCTTTCCACATCTTAACCAACAACATAACAGCATGCTAGTGAAAGCAAAAGCTATTAAAAAGTGAAAGTGAAAATCTTGTGAGTTTGTTTGTGTATACCGTGCAGACAAGCTGTCATGCAAATAACTTCTGGTGCAAGAGATGGTTATTTATTTAGCGTCTCGAGCTCCAAACTGGAACAGGTTGCAGGCGGAAAACATTTGATTTACCAAAAACAAATTAGTTTCATTTTCAATCTTCATATAGTAAATTCAGTATCAACACTGTAAAAAAACAAAAAATAAAAATAAAAAAACTAAAACAAAGTTAACTCAACTGAAATTTTTAAGGCAACAAACTTCAGGACATTTTTGAGTGTACTCAACCTTTAACCTAATTACTGCACTTGGCTTGATTTAACTTGAGTAAACGCAAAAATGTCCTGAAGTTTGTTGCCTTAAAATTTTAAGTTGAGTCAATTTTTTATTTACAGTGTACAGGTATACAGTTGAAGTCAGAATTATTAGCCCACCCTGTCTATTTTTTCCTCCAATTTCTGTTTAACAGAGATATTTGTTCAACACATTTCAAAACATAATAGTTTCAATAACTGATTTATTTTATCTTTGCCGTGATGACTGTAAATAATATTTGACTAGATATTTTTTAAAACACTTCTAAACAGCTTAAATTGACATTTAAAGGCTTAACTAGGTTAATTAGGTTAACTAGGCAGGTTAGGGTAATTAGGCAAGTTAGTGTATAACGATGGATTGTTTTGTAGACTATCGAAAAAAATATGGCTTAAAGGGGCTAATAATTTTGACCTTAAAATGGTGTTTAGAACATTAAAAACTGTTTTTATTCTAGCTGAAATAAAACAAATACGACTTTCTCCAGAAGAAAAAATATTACCAGATATACTGTGAAAATTTCCTTGCTCTGTTAAACATCATTTAGAAAATATTTAAAAAAGCAAAACAACCCAAAGGGGGGCAAATAACTCTGACTTCAACTGTACATGAGATTTAAAAAATTACCAATAACACAAATAACCAAATAATAAGATGGGTTAAGTAAAACTTTCATTGTAGTTTATGGTAGAAGTCATGCTAATGTAGTACCAAATAACCTATAAAAAACATTTATATGTTAAACAATGAGGGACACTAGTTTGTTTCGTATTCAAAAACAAAAATACCGGGATTTCCAGCAATCTTTCATAGATGCACAAAACGCACAGTCATCATATTGTCTGGTGTTTTTTTTTTTTGGTTGCACTGCTGAGCTCTGGGTTCTTCGAAGTCACGTGCTTGATGAGAAACCAGAGACAAGATCTGTTTATTAGTGCCATTATAGGTACTTTCCAATATAAAAGTTTTTCTTTCACTGATGTAATTTTTCAGGTAGTGTCAACAGTACCCTTTATGTCTTTATCACAGTTACTAATAAATATCAAATATATCTAGTGCAATGATATGAATGTTGTTGTTTGCATATTAGTAGACAGCTGTTTTAAGCCAAAGTCTATCACAAAAATGTCCAATAGTATCTGGATTCAGCCTTTATCAATCTCAGCTTGCATCAATGCTCTCAAATGGAACAAATGACAACACTGTGAGGGGTGGGTAGGGTTAGGGGTGGGGTTGGGTGAGCGCATTAAAAAGCATTGGATGTGTAACCCCACCGATCTTACGCCACCCAACCCACTCCGAGCTAGTTTCGAACCGGCAACCTTCCGCATGGGAGTCGGGTGCTCTAACAAGGAGACTAAAGACCATAGCCTCTAGCATCTGTCGCTAGAGCACCTTTAGAGGTCAGAGGAGTGAGGTTTACCTGCACAGCACTTACTAGCTGGCCTCCGTTACACTCACTCCCCTAAACCTCACTCCCATCCGGGTCACAGCACCAATGTAACCTCACCAGTCCTACGCCACCCAACCCACTCCGTGCTGGATTCGAACCGGCAACCTTCCGCATGGAAGTCAGCTACTCTAACAAGGATACTAAAGACCATGGCCTCTAGCATCTGTCGCTAGAGCACCTTTAGAGGTCAGAGGAGTGAGGTTTACCTGAATAGCACTTACTAGCTGGCCTCCGTTACAGATGCAGCTCAGATTGCACTGCACCAGGTCTGCATCCAGACCCTTCTCCAAAACGCCAAGCCACATTATAAATTATTATAGTAATTGATAGATAAATATTTTAGTGCTTTTGAAGCATATTATAGTTAATTAATTAAACTACGATGTTAGAAATTATTCATTCATTCATTTTCTTTCAACTTGTCTATTTCAGAGGTTGCCACACTATTCCAGCATATTTCTTACGCAGTGGATGCACTTCCAGCCAAAACCTATAAACACCCTTACACACTCATTCACACACATGCTCATATACTACGGTCAATTAAGTCTATTCAGTTTACCTATAAAGCATGTGTTTGGACTGTGGGGGAAACCAGAGCTCCCAGAGGAAACCCGCGCCAACATGGGGAGAACATGCAAACTCCACAGAGAAATGCCAACTGGCCCAGCTAGAACTCGAACCAGCAACCTTCTTGCTGTAAGGGTACAGTGCTAACCACTGAGCCACCATGCTACCCTGTTGTGCAAATACAGTTGAAAAACAACTACGCAATATAAACAACCAATGCTGTACTAATTTGAATGTATATTATACTACAATTCCCCCATTTAAAGTATGTATTAGTCTTTTTTTCACTTTAATATAAGTAATGTTGTAGCATTCATTAACAAAAGTGTTTTAAATACTTTAATATATACAGTCGAATACACTTATGGATCAAAAACACTATAGAATTTACCATAAATGCCAATTTCCAAGTTCATTCATTTATTAATTTTCTTTTCAGTCCCTTTATTAATCAGGGGTGGCCAAAGCAGAATGACTAAAACTTATCCAGCATATGTTTTATGCAGCGAATGCCCTTCCAGTCGCGGGGGCACATCAGATCATTTTGGCAGGGCACTTTCTATACAAGACTAAAAAGGGAATGTGCACTGCACAGGTCGAGCCCTATGTGTGCACGTGCCTGCGGCTTACCCTCTTTATTCATCAGGGGTCATCACAGTGGAATGAACTGCCAAATAATCCAGCATATGTTTTATGCAGCAGATGCCCTGCCAGCTGCAACCCAGTACTGGGAAACATCCATACACATCATACACACACATTCCCTACGGCCAATTTAGATTATTTGAGACCATTTCAATGTGGTGATGTCGATGGCCCGTGGATATTTCCAACTTGTTATCAAACAACTCAATCATAACTTAATGTTAAAACAGCTTTCATAACATTATTTATCAATATGTGGCTCTTTTTGGATTCTCGGAAGCTGCAGAAATTAAAAATGAAAAACTGGAAATAAGTTGGGGATATTTTTTTTGTTTACATCCCTCAAAATGGTCTATTCCGCATTTGTTTGGTCTGTGGGGGAAACCAGAGCACCTGGAGGAAACCCACACCAATATGGGGAGAAAATGCAAACTCCACACAGAAATGTCAACTGGCCCAGCCGAGACTCGAACCTTCTTGCTGTGAGGCAACAGTGCTAACCACTGAGCCACAGTGTCACCCTGTTTACCAATTGTTTATTATAAATAAAACTGGTAATGGATTAGCCTAAATAAGGAGCAACTTATATAAGAAGAGTTTTAGGCAGGCAGGTTTTAAACAAACTGTAGGATAGGCCTAGCTTACTTTTCCTTTTCCTGCTGATGCGACTGGAAGTCATTAACAAGCCAGGTAAGCTAAATTAGGGCGACCTCTATTGTTGATATCTTAAAATTGCACATTAAGTAAAAATGAAATATTCTTGGATTAATGTTTAACAATATACTGTTTAATAATAAAACAACAACAACCCTATATCAAAAAAACTAATGTCACTTATTTTATGTTTTAAAGCAACTGATTCTGTTATTTTATTTTATTGTAATTCAGTCAGTTTGATTAAACTACAATAGTAATATACACAAAAGAGGCCTACATAATATTCTTTAAAACGGACTCATATTCACAATCATAGCCATGATGAGCCCTAATTCTTAATTCCCGCCTTTTTGTTTTTTGAACCTGTAACCGTCAAACTCACCTCAGTACTGATTTTCTGGTGCTCAACTGTCCAACTGCACAGACAACACTCTTTCGACAGGTAAAATACTTTTAAGATGTCTCGGCTATCCATTTTCTCTTTAAATGCTTGTAGAAGTGAATTGTGATTTAGTACTTATTTGTTTGTTAATTGGTTGGTTAGTGTATTTTGGAAGATGAAAATAGTAAAAAAACTTTTCCGCGCAAACCATGCAATATTTAAAGGGATTGGCATGAAAAAAATAAAAACGGAACACCCGTTAAATAAAACCACAAGATGTCTCTGTTATACTGAAAACAACTGAAGCTTTAGCCTAGCCTACTGTCATCATGGCTGACGGTGGTAGCACACAAGTAGCTTGTGCAATAACTGGTTAGTCAATCACTTATCACTCTTAAATGTTTTTTTACTGCCACTTATTTATATGTAAACGTACAATTTTGAAACATAAATTATTATAACAATGTAAAAATGTCTGCTATTGATTTGTTTCCGTTTTCGGCAGCACAGATTTGTTATTAAAAATAAAAGTCCACTTTTTGAGTGTGAATGATTACATTTTGAAACAAAGATAGATTAAAATGTTTAAAGCAGAGGCATATTTTCATTCACACATCTAATTTAGCATTACTGGAT